TGCCCACTCAGAAATAGGCTGGTCAACGTGAGAAAACAAACGGGAATGACGGTTGCGAAGGAGCAAGGGCCATGTCATCACGCCCATCATCACACCGAATCACCAACATGAGCTGCACCCCCCGGTCGCGGAACGTGACATCTTCGTCATGACGATCCCCTGGTCTGGCCAGAGTCCAAGAGGTCTAAGCCGCGAGACATGGCGTGCGCGCTGGGGCGCCTGCTTTTGAGATGCCTTCTTCCCTCCTTCCTTCTTCTTCCCCGAGAGCGAGCCCGAACAATCAAGGCAAAGCATGCGCTGGGCGAAAGGCAGATAGACTAGCCAGCCAGCTGAGGTGTCAGGGTGCCGGGGAAGCATCACGGCAACGATGGCTTCTTTCCGCGGCCCTATCACCAACTGCCCAAGCGCCAGGCGGCACGGCGACGTGACATGTGCTTCAGCGCAGCCATGATCAACCTAATTCGTCTGGGGTTCAACGACTTCTGCTTCCACCGTGCTGTAGATGCGACGAGCGAGGCGACGCATGCACCTGCATGATGACCATGCGCCAGCTGCCGTCCCACCCCCAACTTCCTTCAAGTCATCAGAGTCGGCCGTCAGCACGCCCGCCGGCCGCAGGAATCGCTTCAGAAGCCATCGCGCCACAGCATGTCGGGTCTGATCTGGCTGGCTGTCGAGAGAAGCCAGACAATCCACTGAAGCGCCTCGGCGACCTGTGGCAGGCCCCATGCCTCGTTCCTCTGTCTATTCGTACTGGCCATTGGCCGATCTGCAGTCGTGGCATCCCCCGAGAAAAGTGAGGCGGCCGCCCCGCACCGCCATAATAATAGGCTGTCCACTGCCGGCACGGTACACAGGGAAGGCCCCGTGAGCGCTGAAGGGTTGCTGCGGATTGGGCGGCGCGGCGCGCCATGCGCGGCTTGGATGGGGGAAAGACATACTGCTGGTCCGCTCGCTTGGTCGTCTCCCTGAGCCCGCCGCTTTCTGCGATGTGCATATCGAGCCGCTTGATCGTCATCGGAACAGCGGGTCACAGCGGGTCTGTCCCGGGCGAGAGGCATCACAGAGGAACAGGAACAGGCAAAGGCAAAGCAGCTAGTGAGCTCAATTCATCTCATTTGTCCATGGGCGGGTTGCAACGCTCATCTCCCGCAGCAAATGGGCGCGACAGTCCGGCCCGCAGCACGGATCACGATCAGATCTCACCGAGTCTGACCACGGGCGAGACGTCTTCAAGGCTGGGCTATCCGCCCTCTAGCATGTCGGTCATCTCCTGATCAGTGGTCTGTCGTCGGTGGACAGGACGCCTGGGCGGGCATCACTCTCAATCCCTGAACACGCGATGGCGGCACGGCAGATGCTTGACATGCGACCACGACCAGCCTTGGCCGACGACCCAAGTCGTACGACCTTGGAGGAGGACCGCGCTCAGCTCATGAAGCAAGGGACGGGTCTGGTTTGACGCCCTCTCAATGTAAAGGGCTATCTGGGCCTCCATTGCCCTTTGCCTGGCGGAGAGGGCGCCGGGTTTTGCCGTCCCTGGCCGTTCGTCTTTGCCTCGCCGTCTTTTGGTCGTTGGGCTGTTCTTGCAGGTGGTCGTGATCCCTTCGATAGATGCCTTCGAGCCTGATGCGACCCGCCATTGCTGGAGTCTTCAGCCAAAAGAAAGGCGATGGTGTCGTTTGAACAAGGCACACTCAACCAAGGCACGTCGCCTGCTTGTGTGCCCGAGTTGGCCTGAGGTACAGATCGGGACCAAAATGAGCGATCAGTTTTGCCCGACGAAGGCGCCAAACCCCATTCACCACGACAAGGCCCAGTGAGTCATTGTAGAGTGCAGGAACAGGAAGTCCAAATTGATTGAAGGCTTCGGGAATTCAGTTGGACCTCATGTGCCGCCGAACAACCTCACCTTGCCGTATTGTGACGACGCGTACGTCTGCGCCTGCACCCAATCATGACAGCAAAAGCCAATTTACGATCAAAATGCTGGAGAAAGAATGGCTTCTTGTGT